ATTTTAGAATGGGTAGAATTAAAAAGATGGACCATACACACTGCACACCCAACATTTGTAACTATGTGAGGTGATGGATGTGTTAACTAACCTTATTATGATAATCATTTCACAATATACTGTATATCAAATCATCACACTGTACACCTTAAATTTATACAATGTTATACATCAATTTTATCTCAATAAAGCTGGAAAAATCTTTTAAAAAGTTATTTAAAAGTTGATCATGCCACATACTGACAAGGATGTGGAGGAATTGGAACTCTCCCACACTGCTGGTGGAAATGTAAATAGTACAATTCCTTTGGGAAATAGCTTGGCAGTATCTTTTAAAAAATTAAATATTCACATGTCATACAATCCAGCCATTCCACCCCTAGTCATTTTCTCTACCCAAGAGAAATAAACTCCTATATCCACACAATAACCTAAATGTAAATGTTCATAGCAACTCTATATGCAATAGCCGAAAACCAAACCAACACGAATGTCCATTAACAAGTGAAGGGGAGTTCCAGTCAACATGGTGGCATAGGTAAACATGGCTCACTTCCTCACATAATCACATCAAAATTGCAACTAAAGTGTAAGACAACCATCACTCAGAACTGTCAGAAATTGAGTTCAGTGGAAGCCTGACAACTACAGAATTAAAGAAACCACATCCATGCTGGTTGGTAGGAGGGGCAGAGATATAGAATGGGTTGGTCCCACACCCACATGTGGTGGATAAAAATTTGGGGAGAGATATCTTAGGAGCAAGGAGTCTTAGTCCCACATCAGACCCTAGCCCAGAGTTTTAGTGCCAGGAAGATAAGTCCTCACAAAAACTTCTGGCTGCAAAAACTATCAGGGACTGAGCTGGTCAAAGAAACTACTGATGTCCCAAGCAATTCCTCTTAAAAAAACCCATTAACAAATTTACTCAGACTCACTCCCTCTGATCTCTAGCAGCTTGAAAGGCACCAGTGGCATAGAAAAAGGAACTGAAATGTCTGGTATCAAGACAAGAGCTGAGGGACAGCTTTTTCCAAGACAGAAAGGTGGGCAGAGGCCATTGTCCCTTTTCAGAACCCTCCTCCACAGAGCCACAGAGCCAGGAGGCAGGTGCCATATCTGAGTCTCTACCAAGCTGGCTAACACTGTTTGCCTTGATCTGAAGATCCTCTGAGACTCTGTCCCACCCAACTTATGAGCCCACCCAAACTGTTAACCCTGATTTTTCCATATGACTAGCTGGTCTTAGCTCATGTTTCAGAACTTCCTAAATCCTCTCAAACAAGCAATAGCTGGCCTCAGTGAGCCCCAGTCCTAGGCCCAGCACTAGCAGCAGCCAGTCTAGATTAGATTCATAGCTTGGCTTTACCTGGGTATCTTCACACCCAGCATAAGTTGCTGCCACCTCAGATTGCTTTATAGCTCAGGCAAGCTAATCTCAGGCAAAACACAGGTGGGGTGTGACCTTGGCCTACACCACCCAGGAAACTGCAAGGCTAGCACACCCAGTGGACAGCTACAGACCACTTCAGAGCACCACCATCCTGCCCCTGCACAGCTGATTCGTGAGTGGGGAGGTTGGTGGTCAGTGGTCACAGGTAGTCCTTGCAGCTGACCAGCTGGGTAAACACCCCCCCACTGACCTGCTAACAGCAATCAAGCCTCAACTATAAAAGAAGGGTGTACTAAACCCACATGAACGGCACATCTCAATTACCTGAGTGATAAGGAGGCTGTGCCACTAGAACCTACAGGATCCCTACTACATTAGGCCATTCAACAAAGACAGGGAGTCATAGCAGCTTGACCCAATACATAGAAACACAGGGAGGCTACCAAAATGAAGAGACAAAGAAACATGACCCAAATGAAAGAACAAATCAAAACTCGAGAGAAAAGAACTAAACAAAACAGAGATAAGCAATCTATCAGATGCAGAGTTCAAAACACTGGTTATAAGGATGCTCAAGGAACTCAGTGAGGACCTTAACAGCATAAAAAAAGATCCACTCGGAAATGAAAGATACACTATTTGAAATGAAGAACAATTTACAGGGAAACAACAGTAGAATGGATGAAGTTGAGAATCATATCAATGATTTGGAACATAAGAGAAAAAAAAACAATCAACCAGAACAACAAGAAGAAAAAAGAATCCCCCCAAACGAAGATCATATAAGCAGTCTCTAGAACAGCTTTAAGCATGTCAACATTTGCATCACTGGGGTGGTAGGAGAAGAGCAAGAGCAAGAAATTGGAAATCTATTTAAAAAACAATGAATGAAATAGATTCATCTAATTTGTTGAAGGAAATAGATATGCAAGTCTAGGAAGCACAGAGTCCCAAACAAGATGGATGCAAAGAGACCCACTCCAAGACACACCATAATCAAAATGCCAAAGGTTAAAGATAAAGAGAGAATCTTAAAAAGTAGAAAGAGAAGTTGCTTACCTACAGTGGAGTTCCCATAAGACTGTCAACTGATTTCTCAAAAGAAACTTTGCAGACTTGAAGGGACTGGCAAGAAATACTCATGAAAAGTGGGGAACTACAGCCAAGATTGCTCCACCCAGCAAAGCTATTTAAAATTGAAGGGGAGCTAGATTCTCAGAGAAGAAGGAAAAAAAACAACTAAAGGAGTTTATCATCACCAAACCATTATTATATGAAATGTTAAAAGGCACTTATTTAAGAAAAAGTTCAAAGCTATGAACAATAAAATGGCAAAAAATACATATCTATCAACAACTGAATCTAAAAAAACAAACTAAGCAAACAAGAACAGAGATATAATCATGGACACAGAGAGTGTTTTGATGGTTGCCAGATTGGGGGGGACGTGGGGGAATGGGTGAAGAGGTGAGGGGATTAAGAAGTACAAATAGGTTGTTACAGAATAGCCATGGGGATGTAAAGTACAGTTTAGGAAATGGAGTTGGAAAAGAACTTACTTATACCTGTGACCATGGACATGAACAATAGTATAAGGATTGTCTCAGGGAATTGAGGGTGCTGGGTAGAGGGGGAAAAGGGGGAAATTTTTGGAAAGCTGTAATAGCATAACCAATAAAATATAATTAAAAAATAAAACTAGAAGAAGAAATATAAAGATAAAGGTACTTAAAAAAAAACAAGTGAATGGATTATCAAACTGGGTGATATCTATGCAATGGAATAATACTTAGCAATAAAAAGAAAGGTACTATTAATGCAAGTAACAATGTGGGTTAATTCTTAGAATGGTTACTATGAATGAAAGAATCCAGACAAGAAAGAGTACATACCACGATCGCAGTTATATTAAATTCTATAAAATTCAACAAATTAGTGACAGAAAGCAGATGGTTGCTGCCTGGGAGACAAGGCTCTTTGGGAGGAAAGGAATATAAAGGACACAAAACCTTTGGTAGTGACTATGATGTTTATTCTCTTGATCATGGTGATTGCCATATGAGTTGTATACATTTCCTCTAAATTTATCAAATCATGCAATTTTCATGTATGCAGTTTATCTGTCAATTATCCCTCAGTAAAGCTGTGTAAGGAAAACTAGGAAACATCAGGAGTTATAAGTGGCAGCAATAACTTTGCAAGACAAAAGCTGTAGTTGATGAGCTTTGGAGATCTTGACTGCAGTCTTCCTCTCTGCACTTTGATAATAGCTCATTTTTGCTGAGTTCTGACTAAAGCTGCATTTCACTTTCATGACTGCCGAAGTCCCCTGGCTATCTCCTGCATCTTCTAAGCGTCATGTAGGATACTGGTTAGTCAGCTGGGAGGACCCAACAACATAACTCAGATAACCAGATGGGGGTGAGGGGTTCCAACAACAATTTATTTATGAAAATAAAACTTCATGGAATTCACAGAGCTATGGCTTTCACACCAACCCAGCCAGGGTGGATGTCTCTGATCAGGTAGTGGCTAAACTGATCTGACTGACTGGATGTAAATAATGGGGAGTATTGCCTTTAACACACACGGAAGGAAGGAAGGAAGGAAGGAAGGAAAGAAGTGAGAGATATAATGGATTTACTAACTCCCCCTGGGGAGTCCATGGATGGCCTTCAGTGGGTCCATGACCCCAAAATTATATGTACGTTTTGTAAATATATGCACTCATGCATTTTTCTGGGCAGAGGGTCCGTAGTTTTCATCATACCCTCAAGGAGCGTCCAAACTAAAAAGCAGCACCAACACAGATAACGCCAGACCCATCTATCATCCTTTCTTCTCCCTCCACTGTAGCTCCCAGGAGAAAAATCTATCAGTTACTCTTTCGATTCTTCCCCGCTGCGATTACAACTATAGGAACCACATCAAACTATTACCGATTTCATTTCTTCCCCTTTGGCGAGGAGCGCATACTCCAGGCTGCCCGACTACTCTACGCCCTCCCACAGATTCCTGCTGCTCAAGAATTTGGAGCTGTTTCCAAATTCCCCAGTTGTACAACCTGCTCGAAACGTTTTCTCTCCCAAGGGACGTATTCCCCACCCAGTCCTACCATTACCCACCCGGGTTATTTGCTTTTTTTCTGAGGGTTTTGATGGGGTCCTCTTCCTCCGAAGTCTACGAAGACTGCCTGCTTTGCAACGTTCGCCCAGCTTTCCTCCTAGGGCTCGGGAAAGAGCGCTCACGATTTCTCCAAATTGCAGTAAAACTTCAACTCGGATTTTCCACTGCAAACTCTGAGCTTTTCCTCTTGCCTCGGAAATCGGGAAGAGGTCCTATTAAAAGCCTGGCCTTGCAGCTCCCTCCCTTGAGCGACCTGGCCAGCCAGCATGGGTGGGGGCGCTGGGACCAGCGCTCTGCCCTTAGCCACCACTCACTCCACATGTTGCCCGCCAAGAGGTGCAGCGCCCCCTCTCAGGTCTGCGCTCACTCCTTTCCTCCCAGACCAACTCGCGGGCGCCACAGGTGGGATTCCCAGTGCTGTCCACAGGCGGCGCCCGGCCCTCTTTCCGCCGCCCGGCCAAGGGCGCACGCCTCTCCTTACCCAGCGTCGCCGGCGGCCGGAGCAGCAGCAGCAGCAGCAGTAGCGTGGGGATGTTGCTGAGCCAGCAGTCCCTGAGCAAGCGGGTCCTGGCCTTACTCTCGACCACCATGTCCTCACACTGGTGGGGACGCCCTGCCACCAGCGTGTGCAGATGCCTGACGGTCCCTGAGGAGGTGACTGGCGAAGCTCCCTGAACTAGCCGCCTTGCGTCGCATTCGCTTTCGCTTTTGCTTTAGACCCCAGAGGGCTGGGGAGAGGTGAGAATCAGGACAGATCTGTGACTCAGCATCCCCACCCCCTCCTCTAGAAAAAGCCCCGGCCTGATCGCCGTGCCACCGCCCCAAGTCTCTGGAGCACCGCGGGCCGCCGCGAGGAGCAGAGAGACCCAGGCTGTCACCTGCGGAGGACTGCATTTCTCCCCCCTACTCTCCTCGCTTCTCGTGACCCCAAAAGTCCATTCGGTCTCATGTCCCCACGCTAAGGGAGTGGGCAAAACCTCTGGAAGCGAGGTATTTCCAGTAAGCGCGGCCAGTGGGCGTCCACACGGGACTCTTGCTCCTCTTGACCTTCCTTAGCTTGTCCCTGCCTGTCGCTCCGACTTCACCTTTCCAAGTTTCCCTGCACCTTTAAACCTTGGGCTGGCGGGCAAGTGGCCCTGCGATCCACCTGTGCCTCCGATCATAGTGAGGGAACGGAGCTCAGTGGTGGGTAAGAGCGGAGGGGTCGCCACCGAGAGGCCGACAGGGGCAGCTGCCCTGGGAGTGCAGTCCATGCCACCTGCTCACACCTGCCGGAGAAAAGCAAGGGGAGGTGATCTAGTAGAGCTGTGTTTACTGGAAACTACAGTACAAGATCATAGTCATGAAATTGACACTGATGCAAATCGTAGCCACATTCAAATTTTGTCCGTTTTCTATGCATTCATTTTTGTGAATTTATTTCTGTGCAGTTTTGTCACATGCCCACAGAGCAAGAGTGAGAGCAAGAGAGAGATTGAGACAGAGAGAAAGAGACATCTGTGACACTGCCAAGATGCTGAAGAGTTTCACAGGATCACTCACAGCCACCCGCCCCCGCCCTGCAACCACTGATCTTTTTTCCATCGCTATAATTTTGTCATGTGAGGTTCTTGCCTGTAAGATTCCTTTTGAGAAATCAGCTGATATTCTTCTGGGAACTCCTTTGTAGGTAACTCTCTTCTTTTCTCTTGCTGCTTTTAAGATTCTTTCCTTATGTTTAATTGTGGTTAACTTAATTTTGATTCATCTTGGTGTGTGGTGTGTGCTTCGTTAGGTCCATTTCTTTGAGACTCTGTGAACTTTTATGTTACATTTATGTTACATAAATGTAATCATACAGTTTGTAACCTCTGGAGGTGGGCTTTTTCCCACTTAGTATAATTCCCTTGTGACCCATTCAAGTTGCTGTATCAGTCGTTCCCTCCTTCTTATAAGTAGTACTGATAGTTTCTCTTTTTTAAGTATAGTTTATTGATTATGGTATTACAGTTATCCCATTTTTTCTCTCCCCTTTATCCCCCTTTGCCCAGTACCCCACTTCCTCCAACATTCCCCAAACTTAGTTCATGTCCATGGGTTGTATATATATGTTCCTTGGCTTCTCCATTTCCTATATTATTCTTTACATCCCCCTGTCTATTTTATACCTACCAGTTATGCTTCTTATTTTCTGTACCTGGCCCCCATTCGTCCCCCCACTCCCCTGATAACTCTCCGTGTGATCTCCGCTTCTGTGATTCTGTTATGTTCTATTGTTTGCTTAGTTTGTTCTTGTTTTTAGGTCCACTTGTTGATAGTTATGAGTTTGTCACTTTACTGTTCATAGTTTTGATCTTTTTTTTTAGATAAATTCCTTTAACATTTCATATCATAAGGCCTTGGTGATGTTGAACTCCTTTAACTTGACCTTATCTGGGAAGCATTTTTTCTGCTCTTCCATTTTAAATGAAAGCTCTGCTAGATAGAGCAATCTTGGATGTAGGTCCCTGTCTTTTATGACTTGGAATATTTCTTTCCAGCCCCTTCTTGCCTGTAAGGTTCCTTCTGAGAAATCAGCTGATATTCTTCTGGGAAATCCTTTGTAGTTAACTCTCTTCTTTTCTCTTGCTGCTTTTAAGATTCTTTCCTTATGTTTAATTGTGGTTAACTTAATTTTGATTCATCGTGGTGTGTGCTTCATTAGGTCCATTTCTTTGAGACTCTGTGAACTTTCTGGACTTCCTGGAGGTCTATTTCCTTCACCAGATTGGGGACATTTTCCTTCATTATTTGTTCAAATAAGTTTTCAATTTCTTGCTCTTTCTCTTCTCCTTTTGGCACCCCTGTGATTCAGATGTTGGAACATTTAAAATTGTCCTGGAAGTTCTTAAGCCTCTCCTCATTTTTTTTTCATTCTTGTTTCTTCATTCTTTTCCAGTTGAAAGTTTATTTCTTCCTTCTGTTCCAAATCATTTATTTGAGTCCCCGTTTTTTTCTCTTCATGGTTGGTTCCCTGTATATTTTCCTTTATTTCAGTTTGCATAGTCTTCACTTCTTCCTCTGTTTGGTTTCCATACTCAGTCATTTCTGTGAGCATCCTGATGACTAGTGTTTTGAACTCTGATACGTTGGCTATCTTCTTGTGGCTTAGTTCTTTTTCTGGAGTTTTGATCTGTTCTTTTATTCGGGCCATATTTCTTTACTTGGCTCACCTATTATGTTTAATGGGCAGAGCCTTATGTATTCGCTAGGGTGGGACAACCCACTTCATTGCATTGTGGTGCTGTATGTACCACAATGGTCAGAGAGGGAACAATGCCACTTGCTTGGCTCTTGCCCCACTTTCAGTGACTCCCCCCCCCCCACAGGCAAATTGGGTCTTTCTTGTGCTGATTCCCAGATGCGTAGGCTTGTGTCTGTTCTAGGACCCCATGGGTCTCTTCAAAGAACTCTCCTGTGAGGCTGGGAGTTTCTCCCACCTCTTTGATCCCACAGGTTTTTACAGCCAGAGGTTTTGAGGCTTTAGTTTTCTGCACTGGAACTCTGGGTTGCATGCTTTGTTTCACTCCTTAGTTGTTCCTCCCAGCTTATCCACCCATGAATGTGGGACCACCAGCTCTGCCAGCCACTGCCTTGTCTGCCTGGTATGCAGCCTTACTGCCTGTCCTCTCTACCATGGCTGCCCATCTCCATCTCTTCTACCAGTCTGGATGAATGTTTCTTCTTTAACTCCTTCCATACAGTTCAATTTTCTGCCAGGTTTGGTTGGTTTTTTGTTTTCTAATTAGTTATTGTCCTTTTTCCTGGTTGTGCAAGGAAGCAAAGCATATCTACCTACATCTCCATCTTGTCCAGAGGGCTCTGATAGTTTCTTTTTTAAATGTATGAACCTCTACCATCCACATCCAAACAGTCTGCTACTTTTATATTTGTATTAGTTTCCTAGGGCTACCACAACAAAGTGCAAAAAATGAGGTGGCTTAATAAAAAAATTAATGGAATTAATAAAAGAATTTGGTATAGAAGCAGTATACAAAATTAATATTGTCTGTTGAATACAAATCTATCATCTTCTAACATACTAATAATGAACAATCAGGAGAAGAAATGAGGAAAACAATTTTATATACAAGTGCATCAAAGAAAATAAAATATCTAGAAATAAATTTAACCCAGGAAGTGAGAGACCTCTACTCTGAAAACTCTAAGACACTGAAGAAAGAAATTGAAGAGGACACAAACAAATGAGAGTATATACCATGCTCACAGATAAAGAGGATTAATATTATTAAAATAACAATACCACCCAAAGCAATTTATAGATTCAGCGCAATTCTTGTCAACATACCAATGTCATTCTTCTCAAAAGTAGAAAAAAGAATCCTAAAATTTATATGGAACCTCAAAATATCCCAAATAACCAAAGCAATGTTGAGAAAGAAAAACGAAGTTGGAAGTATCATGCTCCCTTATCTCAAACTGTACTAAAAAGCTATAATAATCAAAATAGTGTGGTACTGGCACAAAAGCAGACACATGGGTCAATGGAATAGAATAGAGATCCCAGAAACAAACCCTCACTTATGTGGTCAACCAATCTATGATAAAGGTCAACTAATCTATTTTTAGAGTAATGACAGTCTCTTCAACAAGTGTTGGGACAAATGGACAGATACATGCAAAAAATGAAACTGGATCACCCTCTCACACCATATGCAAAAATAAATTAAAAATGAGTTAACAACTTAAATGCAAGGCCTGAAACCTTATGATTCCTAGAAGAAAGCATAGGAAGTGAATTATTTGACATCAGTTTGAGTAATATTTTTTGGGATACTTCCTTGAGCGAGGGAAATAAAATAAGTAAGCAAATGGGACTACATTAAGTGAAAAAGCTTCTGCACAATGAAGGAAATGAAACCTTCAACAAAACAAAGCAGCCTACTGACTGGGAGAATTTATTTGCAAGTGATGTATATGATAAGAAGTTGATATCCAAAGTGTATGAAAAACTCATGCAACTCAATCACAACAACAACAAAAACACTACGATTGAAAAATGAGCAGAAGATTTGAAGAGACATTTCTCCAAAGAAGACATACAGATGGCCAAAAGACATAAGGACAGATGCTCCACATCACTGATCATTAGGGAAGTGCGAATCAAACTCACTATGAAATACTACCTCACACCAGTCAAAATGGCTATTATCAAGTCAAAAAATAATATGTGTTGGTGAGAATGTGGAGGAAAGGGAACCCTATGCACTGTTGGAGGGACTGCAAACTGGTTTAGCCCGTATGGAAAATAGTATGGAGATTCCTAAAAGAACTAAAAATAGATATACCATGTAACCCAGAAATTTCACTTCTGGGTATTTATCCAAAGAAAACAAGAACACTGATTTGAAAGATATTTGCACACCTATGTTCATTGCAGTGTTATTTACAATATCCGTGATATGGAAACTAAAAAAAAAATGTCGAGTATTGTACACCTCAAACTAATATAACCACTATGAGATTATATGCATACTATGATTCAATAAAAAATAATTTTTAAAAATGAAGTGGCTTAGAACAACAGGAATCAATTCTCGCACAGTTCTGGAAGCTTGGAGTTTGAGATCAAGGTGTTGGTAGGTCCCTGTTCTCTCAGAAAGCTCAAAGGGAGGATCCTTCCTTTTCTCTTCTACCTTTTGGTGCTTGCTAGTAATTCTTAGTGTTCCCAGCTCGATAGTTGCATGA